TCTCTCTGTCTCTGTCTCTGTCTCCTGTCTATCTCTCTCTCCTCTTCTACTGTCTCTTCTACTTCTCTTCATCTCTCTCTTTCTGTCTCTCTCTCCTCTCTCTCTCTCTCCATCTCTCTCATCTCTCTCTCTCTCTGATCTCGCTCATATCTCGTCTCTCTGTCGTCCGCTCCTCTCTCCTCGCTTCTCGCTCCTCTCTGTTCATGTCTCGCTCCTCTCTCCTCTCTGTTCTCTCTCTCTTCCTCCTCTTCCTCCTCTCTATCCTCTCTGTACTTCGCTCTCTCTCTACTCTGTCTCCGTCTTCTCTCTACTCTCTGTGCTCCGCTAGCTCTCTCCTCTCTGTCTCGCTCTCTTCATCTGTCTCTTCTCTCTACTCTGTGTCTCTCTCTCTCTCTTCTTCTCTCTCTCTCTCTCTACTACTCTCTTCTCTTCTCTCCCGTCTTGTCTGTCCTTCCCCTCGCCTCCGTCTCCTCCTCTCTGCCTCTCTCACCCCCCCCGGCGCTTTATTCTCTCCTTTCCCTGTTCTTCTCCTTCTTCGGCCGTCTTTACTGTCCCACCCTCACCCGACCCGCTGCCCCCCTTTGTTTTTTCTGCTCCTTCCTCTTGAGTCGCGGCCCGTCCCCCAGTGTGTGCCCCTATCTATCATTTCTGTCCTGTATTCTCCCTCCTCTGCTCGTCTATCTTTCCCATCGACCTCTCTCTCCCTTGCTCCCTATCTCTGTCCCCCTCTCTGTCTTTCCCTCGCCCTGTCTCTCTGTCTCTCTTCCCCTCCTCTCTCCCTGTTTCCCCTCGCTCGCCTCCCTCTTTACTATGCCTTTTTCTCTGTCTCTAGATCTCTCTCTCTATCATCCTCTACTCCCTAGATATTATTTCCCTCTCTCTCCATCGGTCTATCCCTCTTCTCATATATACATTGGTTAAATATATCCCTGTGTTATGTAATAATACATTCCGTCATAACATCCCTTATATACATCATATCTATCTATGATCTAGCTCTCTCTCAATATCATCTCTATATCTATATTCTATCTATATATCTACATATAAGTGTATTGTATATCCACATAATATGTATATATATTATACATATACTGCAAAACGTATATATCTATATACGTATCTATATATATTATACATTCTATATATATATTATATATAGATATATATAATATATATATATATCTACATATATAGTATATACATATAATATACATACATATATCTACATACATATATATATATACATATATGATACATACATATATATACATACATATATATACATACATATATATGCATACATATATATGCATAATATATATATATATATATATATATATATATATATATATATACATATCATACATATGTATACATATACATAAGCATGTGTTTATATATACATACATATATATATATTTGCACACATTTATATATATGTATAGATATTACTATATATACATATATACATAAGTATATATACACATATGTATATATATTCCTATATATGTACATTATATAAACATACGTATGTATGTATACATATATATATATATATATATATATATATATATATATATATATATATATATTATATATATATATACATATATTATATGTGTGTGTGTGTGTGTGTCTGTATGTGTGTTTATTTATAAGTATGAATATATGTATATATTTATATTTATATAAATATGTAAATATATACACATGCCTACATGCATATGTATTTCATATACAAATAAATATATGGAATATATCTGTGTGTATTTATATATATTAATAGTTACAGTGCTATATGGTGTATTTATGGTGGTCATTTACATATAAAAAAAAAAACTATATTCTTGGGTGACAAACATTTGCACTTATTTTTCATTCAAGTTATTGTATGTTAAAGCAGTATGTAGTTCAAGAAAACTATTTTCCTCATGTTTTATTTATTGATCATCAAATTAACAGATATAA